GGCAGGGCCCGGGGCCGGGGGCAGCGAGAGGGGGAGATGAGGGAGAGAAGGAGGGAGCAGGGTGCCCTGGCCCGGCACTTCAGCTGCTGCAGGGCACCCTGGCAGGAAGCAGTGGGGTTCCCAGGTCTGCCTGTGGAACTGCAGCCCAGTCCCAGCAGCCCAGAGCAGCCTGGGCCCATCTCTGGGAGCTGCCACAGCTCTGCCCGGTGAGCGTTCCTCTGCCTGGCCCATCACTGGGGCTGCTTCACGCCCCTGCTCTCGGTGCCGGGGCAGCCGTCGTCTTGTGCAAGAGCTGACAGAGCAGCTGCGGTGGTTCAGCACAAGGCTCTGGGGAGAAGGCTGCCCTCCCTTGCCTGTGGAGAGAGAGCCCTTTCCTTTCCTTTCCTTTCCTAACGCCTGTTTCCCTGCCTGTTGCCCCCGCTGCAGGACTGCTGGCTGCAGGGCAGGCTCATCCCAACCACCTCCTGCCTTGCTCCTACGCATCCTCCTCGCCCCAGAGCAAGAGCCCGGTCCGTGCCCCCACATCGCAGGCTGCTTCCCCCTCGCTCCCAGGGTGCCAGGCTCCCGTGGCTTCTGCAGGGAGAGGGGCTGCCTTCCCGGTGCTCGGGAGCTTTGCAACCGAGGTCACGTACACGCTGCGAACCGTTCCCTCCATCCTCCCGCTGGAGCAGTGGCCTCGAAGCGCCGCCACTTCCCCGCCAAGCGGCAGCAGCTGCGCCCCTGCGGAGCAGGGCTGGCCAGCCTGCAACCCACCAGGTATGGGAAACACCTCTGCCCTGGCTCCTCCGAAAGACGGGCAAGAGGGGTACTGGTACATGTTTTCCAGTGGTGCTCTGTTGTGTCTGTCTCGAGGGACAGTCTGGCAGCGGGTGTGAAGTGTAGAGGAAGAGAGACCTGTAGAGCAGAGAAAGGTTTCCTGTTTGGAATTCCTGTCCCTCCTCCAGAGTCTGAGCATCCCCTGCTCCGACTGACTTCCCAGAGTGGAGGTGAAAGGGTGAGGAGAAAAATCCTTGCCCGTGACAGGTTAGGGTTAGGCTATGTTTCCTTGTCTTTTTTAATTAAGCTGAACTAGGACGATGCTGCTAGAGCTCTGAGCACCTGTGGAAAAGTAGTAGACTAGCCCTGGGTCTCCTGTGTTCCCAGGGGAAATTGTTCCAGACCAAGATCAGACACAAGTATTGTCTAGAACGTTTCATTCTGCTCATCCTGTTCTCATCGCTCAGGTGTTTTTCTTGCTTGGCTTCTTCACGTTGTGTTGCTTTAACGCTCTGGAGACTAGAAAGTACAAAAGTCTGGACTCCTGTCTTGTGTCTAAAATGTTTCTGCCACCATTTCTGCCAGTCTGCTGACTGTGTTGGAATTGTTGCAGCTGCAGCGCCCTGCGGTTCCCCAGCTGCCTGCACAGACCCTCTGACCAGCTGTGCTGGCCCTGCAGCTTCGCCGAGTGCCCAGAGCAGCCTTGTCCAGGTGGGTGAAGCCTCCTGCAACCAGGTGAGAGCCAGGGAGACTGTGTGAGTGACTGCAGGTGTGGGGAGCTGTGTTAGGAGGGACTGTCAGGCAGGCAGCTGGTTCTGGGCCCTTGTTGCTGTGGGAGCCAGCCAGGGCTTGGTGGTCTGCAAAGGGAGCACGGGCGCTGCTGGAGAAGACAGCCTGCACCTCGGGCTGCTCCTTACTGAGTCTTGCAGAGAGCATGGCTTCAAGCTGAGGAGCCCTGAGGACAGCTGCAAGCTTCCTGGGGCTTGGAGGCCAGGTGCTGGGCTTCCACAGGACACACCTGCCCTGCAGAGCACGTGAAGGGGTGGTTCTAATGGAGCTCCTCGCTCCGGTCCTACCAAGACTAGAAGTCTCTGGTCTGCCTGCATGGCTGTGCTCACACCTGCCAGGCCTTCAAGGGTCTGCAGAGGATGCCCTGCAGCAGTGCAGAGCCACGGGGAAGTCACCTTCCTTTCCCTGCAGGGCAGAGAGAGGCCAGGAGGAAACAAGGGTGCCGAGAGAGAGGAAGGTGGTTAAGGAAGAGCAAGGCAACCCGGGATCCCTTTGGTTTTGTAATGACACCTGCTTTTGTTTCTCCCAGAGTCCACCTGCACAGTCACCTGGTGCAGCTGAGCTCCCACCCTCTGACTGGCCCATGAATACACCTGATGTCAACAACCAGACAGAAGTAGACCTGGCAGCTGTGTTCCAGCTGGTGGAGGAGATCTGCTCACCTCTCCTGGGGGAACTGGTGCAAGTGGAATCTCTGGTGAGCCAGTGTTTACCCCTCAGCCCAACAGAAGTCAAGCCCTGCTGGCATCTCTGGCTCTCAGAGCTCCAGGCACATGGAAGAGCACCTTGTTCTCTGTTGCAGCCTCCTGAAGACCTTTGTGCTGCCCATGCCGAGGGGTCTGCAGAAAGGGCTGCTGCTGAGCCACTGGTAAGTCACCTCCCTGTCTCTGCAGGACAGGCAGGATGGCTGGGCTGGTTTTTGACATGTCACCTTCTGTTTTAACTGAAGGTAACGGACACCCTTTCCAGCTTTTGTCCCTGAAGTGATGACGAGAGAACAGGGAGTGATCTTTGGGTGGCTTTCTTGTCTTGTTTGTTTCCTGTCAGGAGGATGCCAACGTTCTGTGTGCAGCAGCCACAGAAGAGAGACCTGAGCCCGTCGACGCTTGCGCAGGAGAGAGAGAGTCAGCAGAAACAGCCCCGTGCAGGAAGAGAAGACGCGGTTCCGACGATGGGCAGTCCCCTGGTAAGGAGAGATGCTGCCTTTGTGTGGCCATTCCCGAGGCAGCGGCTCTGACCACGCTAGGCCAGAAAGGGGAGGTGAGAGCAGCTGAGTTACTGCCTGCAGGGCCAGAGCTTCCTCGTGCCTCCCGCTGAGTTCTTCTCCTTGCAGAACGCCTGGGTTTGCTGGCCAAGGCGCACCTGTGGGTGTGCAGACATGGGGCACTTGGTCTCCAGGGAGCTGAGTGCACACAGAAATCAGGGATCGGGAAGATTGGGAGCACTTGGCTTGCAGGGGGTTGTGTTGTGGTTTTGTGTGTTAGGGTTTGCACAATGAGCATAAGTGCTGTTCTTTACACAGCAGGCCTCCACTTCTCCAGGTCTAGTCTGCCTTCCCAGCCCTATTTTCTAGGACCTGATGGGAGTGGAGCTGCTGTGTCTGGGGCCGGGTGGAACACGTGCAAGGGCTGACACTTACTCTGCGTTCCCTTTTCTGCCTAGATTTCCATGTGCAGCTGGATGTGCCCTGCAAGCGGGGGTGCTTTGGGAAGGAAGAAAGAGCAGAGTGAGAAGATGGTGACAAAGGACGGGAAGATGTGCCGCAGCTGCTGCCTAGACCATTTAAACTGTTGCTTGTTGGTTTTCTGTTAAAAAAACACCTCTTTGTTTTCATGTTAACTTTGTAGGATATTAGCTGTTTCATTTTTTACACCTTTGCTGTTACGTTTTCTTCCTGAGAAGGGAGCTGTTGTGTTAGCACTTTAAATTGTTTGGAATAGGTTGTCAGAGCAGGTTTTTCACTGTTACAATAGGGTTATGTTGGTATGGACAGTAGATGTGAAGTTGTTGGTAGCACTGGTTTATTTGTTTTATTAGGTACTATCCCATATTTATACATATTTATTCCTATTTATGTTAGGCAGTGTTTGAAGGGTAAAGGGGGGTAGATTGTCTATTTCTATTTAAATATTAACATGCATTGTCTATTTCTATTTAAATAATGTTAACATGCTCATCTTGGAAGGTTCTGGAGCTGGATCTCCTGGAGCCACAAGATGGTTTTAACTATTTTTGTGAAGGGGGAGAGGGTGGGATTGGGTTCACCTGGGAGCTGTTCTTTTGTACTGCTGCTTAGGCAGCAAGAAAATAAACTTTTCAACTGACAGGGGAGAGTTGCTTTTTTGTATTTTCTCTGTGGGTTAATGTTGGAAGAAAAGGCTTCACATTGTAGTAGTTCTTGCTGACACTTCTGTCAAGAAATAACCATTACTTTTTCGGGAGGAAAGGTGTTAGCGCAGCAGGTCCTGGGGCTGTCCAACAGGAAGAAGGGTTGTGCTGGGCTAGGGAAACACTGCCCCTTCAGTCTGCCTCTATTCAGTTCCTGTCAGCTAATGGCCACCAAATAAAGCATGGATGCACAACCAAGAGCACAGAAACATGCAATGGAAGAACCCTAACTAAAACAAATAGAATTCCCTGCTCCTGGAGCAACTTGCTGCGTACTTAAAAGGCATCTGGTAACATAGTCTCATGGAGTCCATTTTGGAGGTCCATGAGACTTCTGTCCATGTCATTGACCAAGATGTGAAATAGCACTGGTCCAAGCACCGACTCTTGGGGAACAGCCCTCATCACAGGATTTTAAAGTTTAATTTTTATTTTTATTTTTTCCTTCTCTGATAGGATTGGTAATAATTTAATTGTTCCACAAGCCAAGTCTGGTTTGCCTGTGACAGTAATTGCTGCGTGATCTCTCCCTGTGGTCATATTCAGCCATGAGCTTTTTGTTACAGTTTCTCTCCCCAGTCCAGCTGAAGAGAGTGATAGAGTGGCTCTAGAAAATGCATCCCACAACTGTTCTCTCCCTGCATAAGCCATGTTCCTCTGTGTTGTGTTGCTGTGGTGTTTTGGTAGCAGGGAATGGGCCTTAAGGCTGGCTCCTCTGAGAAACTGCTGAAAGATTCCTTGGGTCCAAAATCCTGCCTCACCTCTGACCAAGGCCAAACCCATCAGCAACAATGGATGTGCCTCTGTGATCAACACATTCAAGAAGGGGAAAGGAAGTGCTGTAAGGTCCCTGGGCTGAGGAGTGGGGAGGTGAGAGCAATGCCAGAGCAGAGATACCAAGGTCAGTGGTGAAGGAGAGGGAAGAGGTGCCCTAGCAGATGTTCCCTGCAGTTTGTGGTGAGATGGCAACCATCCCCCTGCAGCCCGTGGTGGAGCACAGCGGAGGAGATGTGGACCTGCAGCCATGGAGGACCCTGTGGCCAGCAGAGGTGACTGTTCCTAAAGCAGCCTGTGACTGTGGAAAGCCCACGCTGGAGCAGTCTGTTCCCGAGGGACTGCACGTTGTGGGAGGGACCACACCTTGGAGCAGGGGAAGACTGTGAGGAATCCTCTCTGAGGAGGAAGAAGCAGCAGAAAACAACATGTGGTGATCTGACTCTCAACCCCATTCCCTGTGCCACTAGGGGGAAGGAGATAGAGAAATTGGGAACAAAGTAATTTAGCCAGGGTAAGAAGGGCAAAGTGGGGTAATGTATTTAAGCTCTGGTTTTTATTTTCTCTTTGTTATGTGTGCATCTGATTAGTGGTAAATAAAAGTAATATTTTTTCCCCAAGTTGAGTGTGTTTTCCATGACCATAATTGGTGAGTGAACCCTCCCTGTCCTTGTCTTGACCCCTGGGCTTTTAGCTGGATTTTCTCCTCCCCATCCTACAGTGGGAGTACGGGTGAGCGAGCAGATATGTCATTCTTTCTTGCTCATGGGGCCTAAACCATGCCATTGTTGGAGGCTTCTTGCCTTCTTTTCTACTGTTCTAGTAGTGTAGTAGTCATCATGATCATGAACTCTGTACATTCTTTCATGATGTGGATGGTTTAAGGAAAGAGCCACAAGAATTAGTTCATGGTCCCGTGATTCTAGCAGTATCTTACCAATGTACCCTTTGCAAAAGGTACAGACTCTCTGCAGGTCCCAGACCCTCTACCACAGCCACAGTCTTAACAGCCCAAGGGACAACCTGTGCTTTTCCAGCTCCAGCTGGCACCAAAGAGAGCCACCCTAGGCTGGAAGGGTGTAGTAGTAATTAAATTGCAGTTCCATGCCAAAAAGTGACAGTGTAAAAATGCCACTCTATGCTTCTGTGCTTTCATGCTCTGACCTCAGATGCACTCAGTTTGCTGGTAAAAGATTATGTTTCTTAACCTGCCTTTTTTCCCAGTGAGTATGAATTAGTCAAGACAAGATCCTTTCTTTGTTTCCTGTATTACTACTACCCATAAAGGGAATAACTGGCCAAAACAGGTCTTCAGCAACACAAGTATCATCCTGTCACATAAAAATTTCTGCTCAGGTCTTCTGACCAACCTGAACCCAGTGCTTCCAGAACTGTTTACTGTAGAAGGTTCTACTTGCTATCACTGATGGTGGTTCTGCAGGGACATCATGCAGGAACATACACTAATGGCTGACACCAACATACACAATCAGCAGAGGAAGGAAGCAGCTTTGCTGGAGAAAGAAGGTGCCACTTCAGCACAGTCATTTTTCTGCCTGGAATGACACTTTCTATGAGCTCAAGCCCTAGGCCAAATCACTTTATGATCATGGTAAGTGAGCTAAAAGCCAATCCCAGCCAGCAATAAAATGACAGGATAGAATTAAGAAAGAAGGAAGAGGCTATCTGTAAAAAGTATGGAGTATTTTTGACAATAGATGTGATGTGGAAGCCAGAGGCTAGAGAGAAGGAAGTAATGAGGATGAAAAACTGAAACAACGTAAGACAGGCAAAGAAAGATAAGGGGATCTAAAAGTCTTGGGTTGAGGAGAGCAACAATAAGAACTAGAAAGTAATCTGTAAGAACAAGGAACAGGAAGTTAGCTAGAGAAACAGAAAACAGGGATTATTAAAAAATAAAAGGACAATGGAGACAACAGTGATAAGAAGCATCACAGTGACAGAAGGGGAAGGGAAAACACTGAAGAGGAAGTAGGAAAGAATCTGAATTTTAGGGAATACAGATTGGGAAAAAAAAGAGGTTTACATTACTCAAATGTGGAACCCTCCCTCCCTCAATACTAATTAAGTCTATCCCTTCTCATCTAAGAAAAAAAGAAAGCAAAACAATTAAAAGATAGGCTTTTCATTTGTTTATTTGTGGGACAGTGAGGGTATTTTGTCTTAAGTTGCACTTCCAAGGCAGGAGTAGTTTCATTTTAGGACAACCTCATTGCTTTTGTGCTGCACCATCTAAAAAGGGTAATCCCACTGGTTGTCCTCAAGGCCACTTGATAATGGAAGTTTGAACAAAGCAGAGTGATGTGTAGCCATGGCTGTTCTGACTTTGTTCTTTTATTAGACTTTTCTGGGGCAGTATCTCACTTCTTCTTGATGGCCTACCATCCTTATTTCCCTATCTCAGAAAGACTGACTACTAATGTTTGTTTTGTGCCGTGTTTATTTTTCTTAGTTCTTTCTCTTTATTTACTAATAATTGTTCTGCTTTGTTGAAAATAGAAGTGAAGATCTGGTATGTTTTAGTCTTTGACACTTATCTTTTAATCTCAAGTCATTTTATTATTCTACTTCATGCTCATAATCCATCCTAGAATCATAGAATCATAGAATCTCTTGGGTAGGAAGGAAACTTTAAAGGTCACCAAGTCCAAGCCCCGTACAATAAGCAGGGACATCTAATACTAGACCAGATTGCTCAGAGCCCCATCAAGTCTGACCTTGAATGTCTCCAGGGATGGAGCCCCACCACCTCTCCAGGAAACCCATTCCAGTGATCCACCACCCTCATATCAAAGAACTTTTTCCTAATGTCCAACTTAAATCTACCCTTCTCTAGTTTGAAACCATTACCTCTTGTTCTAATTTTACATGCCCCAGTGAACAGCTCTTCCCCAACCTTTTTACAGGCCCCTTTCAGGTATTGGAAGGTCTCTATAAGGTCCCCCCTGGAACCTTCTCTTCTTCAGGCTGAACAGCCCTGACTCCCTCAGTCTGTCTTCATAAGAGGTGCTCTAGCCCTCTGATCATACTCATTGCCCTCCTCTGGACACGCTCCAACAGGTCCACATCCTTCTTCTGTTGGGGGCTTCAGAGCTGGATGCATCTTCCCACCTATCTGAGCTCAGTCCTCCTCTCTGGCTTTATACTTCAGTCATTTAACCTGAAAGACTTAAACAAAGCAAGATCTGAACTTATATATGATCTCTCAGAGGTGTCTTTGCATTGTACTAGGGAAGATGTAACTGTCTGGCTGCTGCTGTCAGTAATGTCATTAGATTATGGTGATAACTTCCTAAAGATTAAATGCAGAATATTTTCTGCTTGGATTTACTCAGAAAATATAAGTACGTTTCCACTAAACATGAAAACAGTTTTACTCTGCAAGCATCTAAAACTCCTCTGTGGCTGGTGCATAATGCTCTTAGTTGATGGCTTGCAGGACTTCAGACAGTGCACAACACCAAACTGCAGTGACACCATTTGACCCTTTCATCAGCAGCTGAATGTTCTAGGCAAGAAAACCTTATATTGCTAATAGTAACAGGTG